TTTTGTTTCCCCCCCCCCCCTCCCCCCCGCAGCCGTGGGCACTTGGCTAGGCCCCGCGAGCCCCCTGCAGGCCCGGCCGGTCTGGGCCCCGGGTGTGCCAGCCCAGGGCACGGAGAGGGGCCAGGTGCCTGCCCCAAGTGAAGCGGTGAGTTCCCCGGGGGAGGCCTGGCGGGTCTCGGGGGCAGCCTGAGGGAGGCTGAAGAAGAGTGGAGGAGGACAAGGCTTTGGGGGCGGGAGATGAGCTGCCGACTGCTTGGCCATGCACCCGACTGACCAGTCCTGCATGTGTTTGGGATGTTGGCATTTTGCTTTAATAGGGGCTTGCAGGGTGTTATTTATTTTATTGTATTTATTTTTGTTTGGTGATTCTCCTCCCTCCCCCCGCCCTGGCCCTTCTGCATTGAGAGTGTGCACAGTGCAAACATTTTTTATTTATGAACAGAACCGGATTGATCCAGAAGGACCTTGGGTTTAATTTGGCTTCATATTGATCTTTCTCAGATCTGTTAGAAGCAGACTCCTCTTATGAGGAGTAGGAGGATCTTAGGAGGGAGATCTAGTAAACTGTCATTTGCTGGGACCAAAACTGCGGTCACTGTATTGTCAAATTAGTCTTAATCCCATGTATTTGTTGTTTCTGCTTTTCTAAGACTGAGCTGATTTATGAATACAAAGCTTTTTGCTTTTTTTAAAGAGTTAGGTATTTTGTATTCTGGAGGTCTTTGTGACGTGTTTGTCTTAGTGTAAACTAAGTCTGTATTTTCAAACTGTTCAAAATAAACCCTTCAATCTCTTTGTTTTCCAGAATAATTTCTTTATTTAGAGTAAAAATTTTAAAAGCTTGCCATCTTTTACTTAAATAACTTCTGATCAGTTTTTATCATGAGCTGCCAGATGTGCATAGTTTACACTATAAGATCTAGCAAAAGTTGTCTGGTTTTTTGTACAACTTTTTGTTGGGATAAAGTGCTTGTCTGACCTGTTATCAGCCACATGCGTAATGTGTCGGTGTTCCAAGTTTTAACCTTCTATGAAATTGAGCACACAGAATTTCAGGAACAAGTCTTTTTCTTTATTGTTTTTTGTTTAGCATTGTTGAAGCAGTTTGATTTCCACTTTTAATTCATATACTTAGATACCAAAAGAAATATTGTGACTCCAGTTTGTTCCATCACCAGCTTTCAGTCATTTTCACAAGCAGTTTTATCCTAACAGATGTCCTGTTCTTAGACATTTTGTTTTTCCATGTTGCACTACAAATAGAGTACTAAACACGTTTGTTTTTGCAAAGACGGATATACAGCCTGAGCTTTGAGAGGTTAAAAAATATGTTGGAAAGTCATTCTTCAGTGTTAAAATACCAAGGCCTAAATTTAGACCCTAATGTGTGTCAGTGCAACTCCACTGGGTGCAAGTGAATTTTACATTCTTAAATCAACTATGAGCTATTCATTGCCTATGTACTAAGAGAAACAAGTGCTGTTTCTTGTTCTATAGGAAATATAGTCTTCATCATAGAAAAAAAATCCTGAAATTTTCTGTTATGGTTGATTGCAATTATCAACAACTAAAACTTTTAAAGGAACACTTTCAGCATCACATCAGTTGAATGTCTATTCCTTGCCAGACCTTTCCATGCATCAAAAATTCATGTAAACTAGATACAGTCATAAACCGCTGTGGGTTGCATTTGTGTATTCATAATCCTTTTGAAGACTGTAATAAACACTTTACCTTATGGATTATAATTTCTCAAAAGAAAACAGAAAGGTATTTAAATGCAATTTGGGCTCACACTATGTGAATAAAAGAGTTTAAGTATATACAGTATACCAGCCAAAATCATTTTTAGTTCCCTTGGATTGACCATCATGAAATAGGTCCTGCTACATTAGAATAATGTTTTAAAATGTGTTTGTTCCAGCCTGTTTCTTCAGTAGTCAGCAAAACTATTTTGGAAACTAGTAAAGTGAACTTTGACTGAAGATGAAACCTCATTCTCCTCTCATGTGCCTGTAAATCGAGAGAAAGTGTTGCAGTAAAAGCCAGCTGATATCAGAGGAGAAGCCCACCCATAGTTCCTGAGCTCAGTTTAAAGACAACTGATGAAGGATGTCTTAAAATGGGAACAGAAGATTGAGATAAATGAGGTACTAGAAGTAAATGCAAACTAAATCCTGGTGTATAGTTTGGAAGGAACAGAAAGAGAAACAAATTGCAACAGTAGTCAGCCAGTAGTGAATTAAGTGGATAGTCAGTCTAAAACAGAGAGCAAAGGGAGCCTAGCTTGTTTCAGACATTCCAAGAGAATTGATGCCTTCACAATAACAGTAACGTTTACACAAAAAAAGGGAAGTGGGGAGTTTTAATAGATTTTTTTTTTTTAAGTGGAACAGTTCCCTTCCCATTTAACATGTTTTTGACCTACTGGTCAAATGAATTGTGTATCTTCTAAAATCTGTGCACTTTTCCAGGTTCGCCATCTTGGATTTTTTATCAAGATGGTTACAACATTATGGTAGTCATGATTTTGTGGTAAACAGCTAAGGAGTTGCCATTTCGTAATATCACAGAAGCATAATTTGATTGGCCTGCTGATCTTTCTATTGATTTAATAGTCCAACATTGGTATGTAATTGTCCTTTGCAATCCATAATTACATCTACTCCAGAGCCTTATCTACAAATAATTTCATTTCTATTTCAGGAAGGATGGATCCAGATTTGGAATTTACTGATAACATGCAGTGACAGCTTTGATTATAAAATGGATTATTCCACTTTATGCCTCAGTATCTATGATGAAGGTTACTGGTCATTATGAAAAGCATTACATTTTAAGTTCTCCCATAGCCTTGCTTGGTGCTGTTTGAAAGTAATTGGTGATCTCAGTCTCCTTCCTATGGTTCCAGCACAGAGGAAATAATCACAACCAGGCTCCATGTTTGGAGTCTCAGGAGAAAGGCTATGTTTAGAACAGAGTTTGAGCCTAAACTGTTTTTTTGTCCTGGGGTGATCCTTCCAGCCATAACAACATGGCATTGGCAGTAGTTGTAATGCATTACTTTTAAAAAATGAATACAGAATGCTATAGATAGCTATTCTTATTTAAGTACCTTTATTGTGATCTAAAATTCAATTAAAAAAATTGGTAAGGATGCATATAGTCGAGTCTGTTTGCTTGGCAATTTGACTATATTGCATTCAAGACTTATTTTCTGTAAGTCACTTTTTTTCATTTGGTGATAGATATAGTAAAGATAAGGGAGACTCTATCAGTGGGAAACAAATACAGTATCTTATGTTCTTTGCCTGTTTCTAGGAGTCCATGTTATATGGTGGACCTACAACACTTTCTTGACACTCAAATTTTGCAACAGCTGCTTGCTATAGATTTGAGATTAATTGGTACATTGTCCTTGAAATCATGCAATGTTTGGACCTCAGTCGAAATGAAAAATTGGACTTCTGTAGATTGATAACAGATTTCAGATGCCTTTATGAAAATGGCCATGCTATTTGATTTAAATATGATTATATTCAGGAAGTTTCAGAGTAGTACCTGGTCTTATAAAGCAGCCTTTTGCTGCTTCCTACCTCCTATCATCATTATGAAAGCATCTGGAATTTTATGGTTAGTCATATATGGGTACCTAACATGTTATAAGCCTTTTTGGGGGGTTTTTAAAATTTTTTGTAGGCCTTAAATCAATGGTTTCAAAAGCCTGCTTACAGAGCATACTAAATTCAATTCTCATTCACACCGTAGCATATTTTTTTGCGCTTGCATCACACACTGCTGAATATCTTTAACTGTGTGGTGTGTCTAACTGTTCTTGAGGCCTGATATTCACTATCTATAGTTTACCACATGCAATACACACAAATACATTTTCCTCAGTTCTGTAGGAAAGTTCAGTTTTGGAGGGAAATCTTTACCCATTGCTATCATTAGACATCCTTCATGCTCCCATTCTCTCATCTAAGCCTTTTACCATTGATTTAGTGAGGCAGTCTTACCTTTTTTTCTGCAATATGGAGTGTATGTTTAAACTTTTGTCTTGAAATGGAAAAGTGGTTTTCACTAAAATCAATAGAAACATGAAAACATTGAGTTATGGGATAAACTGTTGAAAGAAATGACTGCTGTTTGTACTTGAAAAGAAAGGGGAAATGCATCTAGACGTGGAATTTTGCGACTTGAACAGGGATAGCGAGCTTTACACTGAAATCATATGTCATAAATGCCGAAGATATGGTCCAGGGGGGCTGGAACTGGCCTGTGGAGCCATGGGTCTCGGACTGGCCCTGCACGCAGCACACATTATCCTCTACCCCATGTGCTGTGTGTAGAGCTGGTCCAGGATGCATCCTGCATGCAGCACCTGCACCAGACTAGCTCTGCATGCTGGATCCAGAACACAGGGCCAGTCTTGGCCCAGTTTGGCCTGCAGACCAGCCTTGCACTGCTCGCCCAGCCTGCCAGGTTGAATGAGTTTGATACCCTTGATATATTGACTTTAAAATAAACTGATGCAATTCTTTGAAGAATCATGTTGACATTTAATCTGTTCAGAAACTGAATTTGAAGTAGTTTGGATACTGCTCATGCTCTTTACCTGACTAATGGCTTTTGTTTTCTAATCACAGTTTTCAGTGTTCTGTAAATCATTTCTCTCCTTTTCATATATGTGTAAGGCCCACACAGAGAGGGAGAACAGTGTGTGTGACATAAAGGCACATACTAATTTCCCAGGTTTTCATTAGTAAAAATACAGTTGTTAAAATTTAATTTGTAGGCAGTAGATATTTAGAGATGTGTTTGTTTGTTTTTTTTTAATTGAGAAGGGTCCCTTTTTATTCTGTTGTACTGTCAGGTCTGTTTTTCTTTAGGTTGTTATTACCATGGCTAATTTTACCATATGATGCAATGCAATTTTATAAGAACCTTTGACAAGTCATGCAGTGGTATGCCAATTTAACTCCTTGTTGCTCTGGTGTGGGCAGCGGAAAGCTGGGTGAAGGTCCTTCTATAAGTGAGTGTTCATGTTTGGATTTTCAGAACTGCTCAGTATTGGCCTCAGTCTGTCCCATTTAAAGTCTGTTGTAGGGCTCCTGTTGACTTCAGTGGGAGCAGAATTGGATCTTTGCTGAGTGCCTTTAAAAATTCCACCCTGTAAAAAGGAATACAAATGCAGTGTAGATTTCTGCAAGGATTTTTGGAGTCCATATAGATGATATACAGCAGGGGCAGGCAATTATTTGGACCCTCAGGCCACATAGGCAGTTTTGGGGAGCTATTGCAGGCCGGTCAGCATCACCCCCTCCTCTTAAGTCGTTTCCCCCCTCCTCGCAACAGCCCAGAGCCCAGGCACCCTGCGGCTCTTTCCTTCTACCAGCACCCAGGAGAAGCTGAGCGCACAGCCCCAGCCTTGACCCCTACCCACCCCGTGCCTGCTCCAGACTCGCCCCATCTGGAGCGGACTAGCTCTGGACCAGCTGGAACCTGTGCACGCAGCCCCGACCCCGGCCCTCCCCACACCTGCTCCCTGCCCACGCTGTGCAGTGGCAGCAGCAGCCAAGCAGAAGCTGCTGCTAGACACAGGGGAAAAGAGACTGCATCCCCCTCATTGCTGCCAGGCCCTTCTTGCTGCAGCCAGTCGAAGCCCATGCCTGGGCTGCCCAGCAGCTCCTCTCCACCGCCACCACTTCCCTGCTGGGCATCTTGGGAGACAGCAGTGACGACAGCAACAGGGCAGTCTGGGTGGGGGCTCCAGCAGGCAACAGGAAGAAGAGCCTGGAAGAAGAGCGATGGGGAAGTGGCTGCTTTTCTCCTATGCCTAGCAGCAGCTTCTGCCTGGCTCCTGCCACTGCTCAGCATGGGTGGGTGGACCGGAGCTAGCATGGGGTGGGCCAGGGTCAGGGCTGTGCACACAGCTTCTGGCTGTTGCGGAGCTGGTCTGCTCTGGCCGGGGCAAGTCTGAAGCAGGCATGGTTGGGCCAGGGTTAGGGCTGTGTGCACGGGTCCACGCCAGTACCATAGAGCTGGGGCCAGTGGCAGCAGCAGCCAGAAGGAGCCACTGCCACATGGGCTGCCTAAAAATGCAGTCCGGCCCCAGAACTGCCCCAGCATCACTGCGCACTTGGGGGTGGGAGGACGTGTAATGGGTGGATGGCTCCTGGGCCAGGGGGGACCGAGGGACCCACTGTGAGCTGGACAATAGGCTAGGTGGGACCGAGGGACCCACTGTGAGCTGGACAAAGTCTTTCCATGGGCCGGATCTGGCCTGCGGGCTGTATTTTTGCCCACCCCTGATATACAGCCTTGTATGTCTGGGAGCTTAGTGCTGTGGTGTCTGCCTTTGTGCTTCGGTGAAGCATAAGACTGTTATGGGAGAGCTATGCAGCCTGTACATAGATGTGCCACCCAAATGAAGGAGACCGCAAACCCATTAGGGCAAGGGTTGGTAACCCGTGGCCCATGGGCTGAATTTGGTCTGCAGAGCCATTTGATCTGGCCCGCATGCATGAAGCCTTTGTGGCATTTGGTGGCAGGGGCCTTTAACAACAGTCACATTCCCCTGCTGTCGTGCTGGTTGTGGGATTTCTCCCTGTGCTAGTGCTGGAAAAAGTGGTAGTGGTGGTCTCTGGCCTGAATTGGGTCAGTCTGGCCTCCAGCCATAAAAGGTTGCTGACTGCTGGAATTAGGGTTATGAGTTGGCCCAAATGACAGAAGCCTCCCTGCACAATGCCTAAAGATGTCTTTTCCAAAGAGGATGCCAGGGCTTGGAAGTAGGAAGGCTAAACTCTTTCAGACTGTCAGAAAGACAACTTAAGAAGTATGAATCGTTTCAGTGCTTTCTCTGTAAACATACAAAATTACACTTTAAAAATGAATGCTTAAATTGTAATGAAGCTGATCAGTAAACACTCCAGTAGCCATTCTTTCCTGCTTTGCACCAGGAAGTGCTTGAATATTTCTCTTTGTAGACCATATATTTCACATAAGTATTAAATCCCATCTTATTAGATGTCATTAGTGATACAATTTGAAACTTTATTGCATACAAAAAATGTTAAGATTGTGAAGTCAAGCTCTATGATATTAAGATTTGCTGAAATTAAAGTAGCTTCAACAGCCCTAGTCTGGA